CTTTCCCTGGAAATGAGAGCACGCGATATTTATCTTGGGACTTTGCCTAGACCGCTAGTATGAGTAGGTGACTCAGCTGCACTGGCAAGAGTGAGTGTAATCACAAACTGTGAGAGGGGGCATCCCCTACATCCTGGGACAGTTCAGGAACCAGACTGCAGCACAGAAGCACTCAAACCTATCTGGGTAAAGTGTTTTACTTTCCTACTCAGGTCAACTACAGTACGTTTTATGAGAGCATCCCGTCTTCTCCCATGCTGACCTCCTTTAGGAGAAGGAGTATCAGCTCCATGGAAACTTCTACTCCACACTTAATAATATAACTTTATAATGTTGCTCCTCTTCCAAGCAAGGAGAAGTTTTTGCAGCCAGCACACATGGTCATCGTGCCCATATTAAGTAATTGGTTTACTCTGGGCCACCACAGTCTGCTGTCTGATGGTAAGAGACACCCAAGTGTCAAAACAGGAACAAAACTTAGTCCTCCCTTATGCTCTTTATGGGTAAAACTGATATCCTGAATTTGGGGATGAAGAGCATTGTCTCCCAGGTTAGAATCCTGGAAAAAAACCTGTGCTAGAAGGCATCAGATGTATAATTAGGTGAAAGGAATACCTGAAAGGTATTAACATCTGACTACTGTTTGAATTCTGATTGATCCAGACCAATTGAGGGTCTCATCATGATTGCTTGGCTTTGCCTCTGCATGCACACCCCTTCTGTGCTATGTCTCTTTCTAAATCTTGCATTGCCCTGTCTCTTTGTGTGTGCTGATATAATTTTTATATTATTTTTTAGGTCATAATAAAAAAGGAGAGTTGTATTTATCATTATCAGGTTGAAATGCAAAGACTGTTATGACTCATTAATCTTTCCACAATTACTGTCTTGTTTATATGGTAAGGAACTATATGTTAATAAAGATCAGTTCTTAACTCCTGGCAAAACATATATACACATAGGTACAATCAGTGTCTCATAGTGTTACAATTGAATAATAATCAGGTAGGGGTACCCTCCTAAATTTTTATTTATCCTATTAGTGCAGCATTCTCATTTTAACATTTTATTTCTTTAAGTAATTAGATAAGCACAAAAGTTCTCTAACTTTTACATAAAATTGATGTAGCTGCAGCTCTTCAGTGTGAAGACACTGAATGAACATTAAAAAAAAAAATTACTTGATAGTTTTTGGTAGGAGATCATCAGAGGAAAAGGCTGTGAGCATGCTCTGGCTGCTAACCTTGTTGATAGTACCTCTAATTGTAAGTGACTGGGATTCAGGCCATAACTTGTCCCTAGGAAGGAGCTTATTCATTTCTGCTTGCCTGATGACAGAATGTCATTGAGCTTAGTAAGAGCTTAACACTCATAATATGTCTATGTTCAGCTGGCCTTAACTGTTGCCAGTTCTCAGGCTTCCGAGTTCTACACTTGAGTTTAACAAACTCCCTTAATGACTGGTTGTCAACTGCACACACAGTGTTATTTTATCCACTGTATTTCCCATCATCAATGTGTGTGACAGATAGTGGCAGACAAAACAACGTCATGTTTCTTTTCTCTAGCATATTCTATTCAAATTTAAGCAGAAAAACAATCTGAATAAATAAAATGACTCATTTATCTCCGAGTCAAAAGGATTTTGGTTTCTTTTATTTTGTTATGATCTGACCATAAATCATTCATGATATCAGGCAATAAAACCCTACAGCGTGTTATGCGGGGCTGTCACAGTGATTTCAGAGATGAGAAGTTTTATGTGCAGATACAGAGAAATCTGAAGGTTAAAAAAATCTGAGGTTGAATTTTAAAAAGGCAGGAATGTATTTGTAGGGATTTTCAAACTTGCAAGTACATATTATCTGAAGCAGCAGACTTCTAATAGAATACTGCATCCCAAGGAAAAAGGTGATTTTTATCATTTTAAAATTATTACTGAAGCTATTTGCCTGTAACTGCAAATCATAAATCACTACTTCATCAGGAATGCACATATCAGATTGCCATACCAATGTGTTGTCTCTGGTCAAAAGCAATCATGTTCATGTCCTTGTCTAAAATTGGGCCAAGATTCAGTAAAGCCATTGTCTATAGGAAGTTTGAAGTATTTATTTATGTACATGCACACATGTTTTGCTGGTGTTCTGAAGTTTCTGTAATGATCTTGCCCATTAAAAGACAGTCTTAGTATTTTTTAAATAGGCCTTATTTCTTTTTCCCAAAATACAAGAGAAATGTCAGCTTTAAAATGTACAGTGTAATGGCATAATATGCTGACTTTAATATTCATTAATGCCTGTGTTCTGGCTCTGTATTTAAATTATCCTCACCTATCACACTGACACCACCTAACTTCTTAGCAGAATATTCAATTACAATAAAAATGCAAGAAAGAAAAAGAGGCTACCTTGGTTCGTATCCTCAGACTGATGAAGGCAGCTTCACATCGTTTCAGTTGAAGTTACTCTAATTGATAGCAGCTGCAAACTTGAACCCGGGAGGGAAAAGAGAGGCAGCCAGTGTAGCAAGTTCTCTGCATTGTAATCTCTGCAAATTTTTGAGTAGCAAATTCATTTTTCTCACAGTGTTGGCCCTCTCTGTTCAAGGTTTTGCTGGTTTGTCCATCTCATGCTCTGTTCTGAGGTTTCCCAGGCAACTGATTTAACACCCGAATACAGCAGTAAACACAGCAGCAGAGCAGGGACATGGCAGAATTATTTTTTTTAAATGTTTTTATTGGGTTTAGTTTAGTGCTGGCCTGAGTGTGATACTGCTTTTGCTGCTTATTTTTTTCCTTGAGCAGTTTAGTGTCATCATGTCTCCTTTCACAATTACACCTATTCTTCCTTCTGTCTTAAAGGAAGAAAAAAGCAAACCAAAGCTGTTCCTTAGTGTTGCTTTTATCTTCCTCCTCATATTTTTCCTTTTCTCCTATGTGCTACCATTCTAGAGGTTTACTCCCCGCTGGGGTGTTAACTTTCCTCCTCAAGTCAGCAGTCCATAGGGCACTTTCCTCTGTGAGTGCTATGCATGGCATTTCCTGAAGTGGGGAGAAAATACCAAATAAAGGGATGTTCCTACCATTTTAAGCATTTTATAAATGCAGATGTAAAGTTATGCTCTTAAATTTATTGCTAGGTGTATGCAAGGATGACTCGGTTTTCCAAATACTTAGCATTCTCTATTTCTGCTGGGGACTGTGCAGCTTTGAAGTTCAAGTTATATGTCTGGAAGTGGATAAACAAGTTCCATGGGCATCTGTTTATGGGAAATCTTGGCAGTTGCATTTATAGCTCATTTATACTAAATCTCATTCACACCCCCATGATGGGTTAGTAAAATGAGGTTTGAAAGCAGTAGCCGTCCCAGTAATAAACTCTTAACATTGTTTTTTTCCTAAAAGATGAAATTATTGGACTTACTAGAGCTAAATTCATCTTCTGGTCCTATATGTGGTGCTAAGAAACTTCTCAATGGGCTACAGATAACCAGCTGCCTTAAAAACAAGGTTTAAATATGAGGCAGAGTGCACATGCCTAATGACTTAGACCTTGATGGGGGGGGGCGTGTCTTTGCAGATCTGAAACGAGCAGCCCAGACCACAGTTCTTCAACTATTGAACAGGAATTAGCTGCGCTCGACTCTGAAATGACCCAGAAGCTAGTCGAGCTGAAGGAGAAGCAACAGCAGCAGCTGCTAAATCTCCGACAGGAGCAATATTACAGTGAAAAGTACCAGAAACGAGAGCACATTAAGCTGGTACGTTTCTTATGTTGTCTGCTTGTCTTTAGCGATCTCAGGGTGAGCGATGAAAGCAGCATGACATTATAATTAAGTAGGGCTCCCTCTTACTTGGAGTCCATTTCAAAGCTTGATTTTCCTGTGGTCTGCTGCAACTTCAAGTGGTTGTTGTGTCACTTTGTTACTAACGCTTCTAACAACTCGGAAGGCTTTGGATGGAAGGCGGAAAGGCAGCAGGATTATTACACTGCTAATGCAGAGAGTCCTTAACTCTAGTTACGTGAGTCTCAGTTCACTGCAGCTTTTGGGTGATGTTCCCATTTTGTTCTGCTGCTTTTTTAAACATACAACACTCAAGGAGGCAGGATTAGCTGGAAAACAAATTGAAACACCATGAAAATAAATAAATGAAAATAGATTCAAACATTCCCCAGGGCACTAGGTTGGACCAAACAGTGTTCCTGTTGCAGACAAATGCTTTAAGGGGATGCAGAACATAATCTGTGTATGGTGAAGAAATATTTTGTGTCCGTCGGTCCAAGCCAGCTTGTGTTTTTACAGCTGGAGTTTGGCTGACAACTACAGCAGGATCATAGGCCCTCCGAGCTGAAATAAAGTAGCTTGGGCAGATGGCAGCTGATGCTGATGGATATTCTCAGGCAGGAAAGAACATTTTTAAAGGGCAGTATGGGAGTGCAAACTGTTTCTCAACTCCAGACAATCCTCTCACAGTTTTTTTTCTATTTTATGATGTTTTGCCTCATTACTGTCGGGTGAAGTGATTTGTCTACTCTGCCCTGCCATCCAAAAAGAGCGGGTCAGGGGAATGATACGTGTGGGTATCACTCAGCAAGGCCTTTCCACAAATTCATTCCCATGGATCGTAGCACGGTGCTGCATTCCCAAGCAGTGCCCTGTTTATCACCCAGTTGTACGTGAATCACTTCAGCATTACCCAGCAGGAGCTGCTCCGGTGTGCGTGCGTGCGTGGACACGGTTACCTGTGCCACAGGGAGAGGGCCCATGTTCAAGTAACAGTTGTTGGCTGCATTTCAGGGATTTTAATTTTTCTGAAAAAAAACATTTTGGACCCACATAGTTGAGCTTAGATTGTAAACTAGCTCATTTCTCAGTTCCAAATGGGAAATGGCATTTCTCAAAGTAAAGTTACTTTTACAGCATTGTCCAGTCAGGTGGTGTCAGGATAAATTCATATTTTAGCACAGAACCTTCAGACAATTTTCCCTTTGAGCTGTGCAGGAGTTAATGTTCTGATTAAAATCTGCTTTGCAGCCCAGAGATTCTTTCTGATGTCTTTTTTTTAGAGGAGAGCCTATTGTTGGTATCTTTCTTCTTTTATCTAAGGAATGAAAAGCTGGATCAGACTAGCTAGGCATTATTATACATTCCCTGGTTCATCATCCTGAGAGGATTATTTTACAGAATCAGACTTAAATTGGAGGGGGTGAACAAACCAAATTGGTCCCGTTTGCCACTTTAATTCACCCTTCATTGAACTTGCACACAAGCCCTGTCCATGTGTCCTCTCACTACCACAAGTATGCT